ACGATTAAATGTATTAATTATTATTAATTTTCTTGCATTGTTATTCATGTAGTTTATTATTCGTCATTTTCTTAAAACGCTTCGTATTGAGCGGAGCGCTTGTTCACGCGTTAAAAGTCGTTCGTCCAGATTCAAGCCAACGCTCCTGATTCGGAGCTCGCGCTAACCGAGCGCTATGATTGGTCGGAGTTTTTTGTTAATAACTCCTCAACCACGTCTCGGAGAACTTTTTCGCTAAGGAAAATGTTGTTTAAAATTACGTCAGGAACCTCCCATTTCAATATTTTATACTAGTTTTGAGATCCTGTAGTTATGATATGATATAAAACCGACATTACTTCCTCGCCTAATATGAAATCAAATAATAATTACAGAGTTTCTTTCTCGAACGGTTTGATGTAAAGCGAATTCTTCATCGTTTGAGCTTTGATCACGTGATCGTCTAGAAGCAGTTGTATGTCGTCGATGCTGGCAATTATATAGGTGCCAGTGTCGCGATACGAATTAACAGTGAACGCGACATCCGCCCAATCTTGGTGCATTCGTACCAGAGCCTTTTCTAAGCTTCCCTCTTTCGTCGCCGACTCCGAGATCGCCTCGAACTTCGAGACATAGTCCAGGAGTCCATAATCTAAAATCTGTAAAAATGAAACAACCATAAGTATTTAATTTCGATCAAATTAAACTTTAATCGTCACCTGAAGATAATTGCTTACTTTAGCAAGTGTCATCGTTGCGTCCACCTTTATAGGGAAACCAACAAGCTCTGATACTTGCTCCCAATGGCGACTCTTTAAGTTCGGATTTCCCAAAGTCGTTATCACAGGCATATGTTCTTTGAACTCTTCTATTTTAATTCGAACGACCTCGGCGAGTTTTTTAGCGATCGGTTCTTGTATAGATCGTTCCAGTCTGAAGACTGTACGATAGGCAGTTCCTGTATCAGTGTCGATGTCTTCTGGGTCGTGAGTACCTATCATGGCGTTCATCCATGTTTCGTAGTTGGTCAAAAAGTCGCAGGCTGCGTCGTACAGTTTTTTATATGGTGCCAGCTTGTCTGCTGTCTGTAATACATCATTGTTTTAAATATTGGTCAGCTTTTTTATTACATGTCATAAATTTTTAGCAGAGATCATGTAGCTTATATAGCCTTAATAAGATTAGAAGAAGATTATGTACCTTGTCCACTGCAGCGAAACGGCGACCCTCCTCTGGCATTTGCTGCTGAATATCAGGGGATGAAAATATTGGTTCGAGGTACATCCAGGTTGCCTGCACTTGCAGCCAGTAATCCAAGATACTTTGCAGCAGCAGCAGCTTGGCCTCCCATTCTCTGACAAATTTCAACAAATAATATATTCGTTCGTCATATTTAAATCATTTATGGTTGGCAAGAAAGTAAAATTCGGTTTTTATGATATATAATCTTTTTATATGATTTTGATTTTATATTGATTATGTTGATTCGAATTGTTATACATGGTGTCCCAAAACTAGTATAAGGTATTGAAATGGGAGGTTCCTGACATAATTTTAAACAACANGGTTTGAGAGGCGGTTTTACAGTAAGTAAGTAAGTAACTAGTTACCGGTGAACTCGGTGCACATTCGTCGTCGATAGGGCCGGATATTTTTAGAATGTATTCTATTTCAGAGAGGTGGGCTCGCGGTACGCTCGGCCGATATTTGTCGCGCGTACACGCGCCTCGCTATTTACGGGAGGAATCGAAAGTGAATAGGAATCCGGCTTGACTTCTCACGGACCGTCCACCTTGATTTCATTCACTAGCATAACCGACATACGTGTACCCACGGTGGCCCGAACTCAAGCGAGGCTACACGAGCCGCGTGCCACTTTCCATTGGCCCAAGATAAAACTTCAATTATTTAACGAAAATACGAATCGTAAGTATTGCTCGCTATTAAAACCGTAGCAACGTGACAAAAAAAAGTTATAACGTTGCCAGAGATAAGATCGACATGTTTATTATATCTACACTATCTTATCTTAGAACAGTATTTGTTTACGAGAGAGAGAGAGAGAGAGAGAGAGAGGGAGAGAGAGAGAGAGAGAGAGAGAGAAATTGCAATTGACGGTGAATTACGATGAGGGCAGTTATTGCAACTGTTTCAGCAATTTCATTGGAGCCGATGAAAGAATGCGATCTCGCTCGAAGGGGAGCGAGGAGGAATAAGTTTATCCCGGGGCATAAATTGAACTCGAGGAGGGAGGGAAAGAGAGAGAGAGAGAGTGAGAGAGCGCACCAACACACCGGCGACCCACTCCCGGTCCCCGATCTGACCTCGCGCGCACATTCGTTCACGAACCTACCTCACTTTGCCCCGCGACAGATGTAAACAAAACCGTGGCGTACCATAAAGACCCACGGTTACCGAAGTTACCGAGGTAAACAGCGAAAAACAGGAAAGGTAAAAGTTAATACCGCTCTCATTTTGTATTAAACGCAAACGGCAGCAGTGAAAACGGCTTGACGCACGCGAGACGCATAAACGCGACGTTCGTTCGACCGTTACACAAATCGCGACGAGATTCAATTTATAGACTCGGATTCGACGTAATAAAAATTCGAAATAAATTCCATAGGTACTCACATAACGAAGCGTACACGATGGACGGACGACGGGCAGCAAGTGACACGATACCGTGAACTGAGGCCTCGAACAAGATCAACACTTGCACTGGGTTATACACGTGTATCACACGTCACTGGTTCCGAGTGAAATCTCAGCTAGCTATAGTCTGTCACCGGACGATGATACACCACGAATCGGAGAACGGTCACGAATCCTGGAGCACCGGGTACACGGCCGGCCTCGCCTCTCGCGAAACCACGGCAACCCGTCCGCGCGCGTCGTTTTCCCGTACTCGCGAGCGCACCACCGTCGATTCCCTTCAGCGAATATACTCGTTACACCAAAAACGTAACTCCGCGTGCGTCTCACTCGACGATAAACACGACGCCGGGTTTGATAACTCGCGATTAGGCGGGGTACGGGGGGAGGGTGGGAAGTGGAAACTCTCTTCGACGGAGAGACACCAGGCACCAAGGGAATCGATGACGTGCCTCGTCAGCCGTAACGCGAGAACGGCCAAACAAAACAGACCAGAAGACGTATTTTGGAGCGTATATTACGCACACGTTACAAACTCCGCTCACCGCTGAGAGTGCAAGCGCGCGACTGCGGTGCCCGACGCCGCTTATGCGCCGGCGGACTGCTTCCTGACTCGGCCGACGTCCTCGACAGTGCCGCCACGGTCGAGCCACTGCCCTATCGCGCAAACGAAATTCGGTGCGAGCACCCAAACGCCGCCGTTTTTCCTTTCTTTTCCCAATCGCTATCGCGTAACGACTCCCAGCGCTCTCATCGGAATCGACCGATAAAAAATATTACCAGGCGACGCGACCGATCTATAATAATAATAATAATAATAATAATAACAATAATAATAATAATAATAATAATAATAATAATAATAATAATAATAATTCATAACATTGCAACAATGTTCATTTATTTTTATACCGCTTTTCGTAACGGGTACTGCGTCTCCTCCCAACCGAATAGAATCTCTTCTTCATTGAAGTCGTCGATTATGTCCATCGCGGCGATCAATTTGTTCTCCAATCGTTCAGCTTTCTTTTTATATCGAAATATTTCGTCGATGTTCCCCCAGTATTGCAACTCATCGCACTGTCTCGCATATACATCTAGATCACGTTCGAATTGCTCGATCCGTTTCTTAAGTACTTTCTGAAACTCGACGATTTTACTCGCGTCGATCTCCTTGTGCTGTTCGAAAATTTCCGGCAGTTTGTCGAACCTCGAGTACGAATGCAAATAAAAAGTATGATTAAATGGGTTGTAGATTTTTTTAAAACAGAAGAGGCGGCCAACCAGGAATTAGAGTAAAAGTATACTCGTGTTCCCGAGAATCTAGGACCGTTTCGCGCATGTTGGAAGGTGGTGGGGGTTGCAGTGAACTCCCTCCACACGGTAAAGCATTGAGATGCGCAGAACGATCAAAAACTGAACTGTGTCCGGTCCTAGACGCTCGGGAAGACGAATATAGAACAACGAAAATAATTGATGAGGCATTTGGAGTATTTTTTAATTAAGAATTAAAATTCAATTGTTAATTTGAATTTCCTGTAAGCCAAACGATAGTTGTCAATTAGTATCCATTTGAATCAAGAACTTAATCGCTTATCTATAATCCTAGTGGTTCTGGAAAGGGTGATTTTATTTTTGCTCAACTCACCATTGAAAAGCGAAATTGTTAATTTTTATTTCAACAGGGTTTGGAACCTGATAGTCCGACAGGGTGACGATGTATTTAATAATCTCCCTTAACCGTTGGCGCAACTCGATGACAGTTTCCTTCTCCGTAGTCTGTATAAATTTCCGAAGTTCCACCAGTTCCTTCGTGTTCGCCGGAACGCTCAACGCGCGATCGACTATTTTCTGATAGTCATTGCCTACGCTAATCGATGAAAAATTTAACAGCAATCTTCTCTTATATACATAGAAATTATGTATTAATTTATTTTAGTACACAGGCTCAGCCAGTAAGAAACATCATTTTAATTGCATTGTACAACATTATACAGAATGTCCCAGAAAAAGTGTTAGGGTGATTCTGGAGGTGTTTCTGAATAACAATTTCCTTTACTAAAATGCAAAGTGAGCCATGGTTTTTGAATTATTAACGAAAAACACTGACCAATGAGAGTGCGCGTAAGGCTGCGCTGACCAATGGCCGAGCGCCACGATCCGAGCCATCACTGCCGTGGCTGAGCGCGGGCCCTACGACAGAAACACTTTCAGAATCACCTCTCTTTGGCTCTAAAAATGGAAGCCCACCCAAAAATGTAAAAAAAAACAACATAATATTTCTTATCGATTCCTGTGTAAATTAACAAGACATAAAAGATTCGCTTACGCTCGCGATTTCTGTTGATATTCGTTGATCATCTTCGAAATCAGTGCATCTTTAATAGCAAAAGCAGTGGCGGAAATATAGTCCAAGATATCTTTACGATGGACGACGAAAAACCCAGCATAGTAAGTGCGATGATGTTCGACTTTGATGAAACGACCCAAGTGATCGTAATACTTGATCAAATCTCGATAATTATCAAAATGTTGCGAGGTGTCGTTTTTCAAGAATTCTTTGATCCTCTCCTTTTCCGTGTCGTCGATGAAATAAGCGTATTTTTCAAATTCTTCTAGCTGCATTATCGGATTCACTTTTTCCTCTTCGATCAGTCGCGTGATTTCGCTTATTCGTCGAGCCATTCGTTGCTCTGAGAAAAACGGCTGTAATATTCGGATCATAAATCAAAGAAAGCTTCAACACACAGTGACTCTTATTAATAAAGAAACTCTTTAACAGAAGAAGTTAGGTCACGAGAGAACATGTGTTACATGTGTCACGGGTTAAGTGCAATTAATTGGCATTTTATTGCCATTGACGAAATCCGACCTTCCCACGATGTCCATCAAGTCGCAAAAAACGAAAATTTTGCAAAATTTGAAGGGGTACCCTTTGGAAAAAT